CGGTCAAGCTGGATCATCTGGGCCCTCTGGTAGTGAACAAGGATGGCACATTGTCGCGCATCGCAAATTGGGAGCAGATGGCGGACATCGAAAAGCAGAACACTTTGAGGATTTTGGTGAAACGAAACCAATTGAGGACAGAGGCTTTGAAGGAGAAAGCGGATGGAGAGGGAGACGGGGCTTGATTGAAAGCATGGGTCACGGGCGGAAACACATGTACATGTCTCGTGTAGAAGGTGGTTGTAACTTCATCTACAAAATGTGATGTTTCTTCTTCTACTATCTATGTCCTTGGTCGAAACACGCGGCTCTATGGCTTCTGGGTCTTTGTGTGTGTCATACGCTCGAAGTAAGACCATTGGCCTTCTGGCGCCGGCTCCTCGAGTGGCTCCCAACTGTGGCGGGTTAGCTGTGGTATGAGTAGTCAGGAAGAAGTCTACTTACACCTTGGCCTCGACCATGACGTCCACAAGCTTATGTTCGCCCTCAGCAACCTGGATGACTTCTTCAATCAATCCTGCGCCAATTCTGCTCTCAAGTTCCGAGATGCTGTACATGTTAGCCACGGATACATTATTGACTACGGCTCATGCATGACATACGCTTCGGCAGTGTATTGCGGCTCAGGGTCGAACTTGACATCGGCGACTGCCCGCTCGGGCGTGTAGTTGACATCGCCCTTCATCTTCTTGGCATGGGGCAAGCGCTCTTTCGAGGACCGAATGCCCTCGGGGAAGGTCTCGACGGCCTCACCGTCCCACTCAGCAGCCTTTGACCGCTCATCGACCTCGTGCTGGGTTGGGAGTATAATGGTCTGTCCGCCTGTTGTGTCGATGGCCTGATATCTTGTCGGGTCCTGGCTGACTTGCTGCGCGACCTTTTGCTGCCACTCATCCCATCCTGCTGGCGTAGCCTGCTCGATGACGGCTAGGCGGTGCTTAGTGAGGGCCTCGGTCGATTGGCGGTATATGGAGGATTCGGGAATCTTCTTCAGCTTGTCGAGGGTGGAGTGGTAGTGGTAGAGGAGGGTGGAGCGCGGCGACGGGTGGGTGAGCAGGCCTGTGAGACCCGTGGGTGTGCCGGCCTCGAGGAACTGGCCGGGCTTGACGCTGGCGAGGAGACGTGCAGCTGCCCTCATGTTGGCGGGAGTGTGCGAGGTGGGGCGGGGGCGCAATTGGTGCTTCGCAGTGGTGATGCCGTCAGGACGAAGATGCGCCCGCCAAGCGATATGCAGCCGGAGCGGCGGGCCCTGGCTAGTAAGCGTCCCATGGCTCAGGGACAATGCGCCCTGGAGACACGATTACCCTCATTCACGCGCGACGTCCCCTCCGCCACGCCTGCGTGATACACAGGCTCGCTGTAATTCCTACAATCTCTACCAATCGCGCCCCCGATACGCAACAACTTCCTTGTCCCCTCGCGTGCGGACCGCTGCCTCACACGAGCAGCCCGCCCCTCAGCCATCGCCGCGATGCGCTCTATATTATATTCCCTCCTGTCGCTGGCGACGTTTGCTTCCACACTTGCGGCCGACACGTCGAGTGCCCAGGCGACCGCCAAGAAGGATGACTGGGACGACAAGACGCCAGACACAATATTCAACGGCGAGACGGTGCCGCCCATGATAGAACTTGGGCCTGCCACCATAGACACCGAGATCAGCAAAGGCAACTGGTATGGAGACAGCTGTAGATCAATCACGGTATACTGACATTCCGCAGGATAGTAGAGTTCTTCTCGCCCTACTGCAGCCATTGCATGCACTTCAAGCCCACCTACCAGACCATCTACGAATTCTACTACACCTCGAAACCCTTTCTCTCAAAAGACGAGCCCGAAGGCGATTCCCTGAATTCCTTCACCCGATACTATGACTTCAAGTTTGCCAAGGTCGACTGCGTCGCATACGCCGATATCTGCAAGAAGCACAACATCCAGAGCTATCCGTCCATGATCTACTTTCAGGACGGCAAAGAGATGGAAAGAGAGACAGGCTCCAAGGACATGAAGGGCATGAGTTCCTGGGTAGAGCGACTTCTGGAGACTCTCCGACCGGGTACACGCAAGGAGGGAGGTCCCAAGCTCCCCAAAGTTGGCGCAACATCTGTAGAAACTGGCCCGGAAACGGAGGAGGCTGTCAAGGAAGAGAAGAAGTCGGAAGCCCAAGACAAGAAGGCAGCGAGCCCAGCCACCAACCTAGCCGCCGGCGCCACACCTTCAGCTTCGCAAACGACCAAGGCTGCGCCTGCAAAGATTGAGCCCACCTCGAATGCGAACCCGTCCGGCATCGTCGAGCACCTTACCGCCGAGACGTTCGAGAAGCTCGTTACAAATACACGCGATCCCTGGTTTGTCAAGTTCTACGCGCCATGGTGCCACCACTGCCAGGCTCTTGCGCCGACATGGGCGAACCTTGCGCGACAGATGAAGGGCAAGCTCAACATTGGTGAGGTTGACTGCGATGTGGAGAGGAAGTTGTGCAAGGAGGCCCGTGTTCGAGGCTACCCGACTATGCTCTTCTTTCAAGGTGGCGAGCGCATTGAGTATGGAGGTCTCCGTGGACTTGGTGATCTGCTTGACTACGCGGAGAAGGCCTCGGCGATCGGTTCTGGCGTGCCTGATGTGAACGCTGAAGAGTTCAAGAAGATGGAGGAGACGGAAGAAGTCATCTTCACCTATTTCTACGACCACGCAACCACCTCGGAAGACTTTCAGGCACTCGAGCGGCTTCCTCTCAGCCTTGTAGGCCGCGCAAAGTTGGTCAAGACAAATGACAAGGAGCTCTTTGACCGCTTCAAGATTTCCACTTGGCCAAGATTAATGGTCTCAAGAGACGGAAAGCCTACGTACTACCCACCCAGGACACCATTCGAAATGCGCGACGTCAAGAAGGTCCTCACCTGGATGAAATCTGTTTGGTTGCCCATCGTCCCAGAGATGACATCTACCAATGCCCGCGAGATCATGGATGGCAAGTTTGTTGTTCTTGGTATACTGAACCGCGACCGTTCCGACGAGTTCATCCTCTCTAAGCGTGAGTTGAAGAGCGCGGCTCTTGAGTGGATTGACAAGCAGGACACTGCCTACCAGCTTGAGCGACAGGAGCTTCGCGACGCGAAGCAACTGCGCATTGAAGAAGCCGAGGACAAGGATAACCAGCGAGCACTCAGAGATGCGAAATCCATCCGAATCAACATGGATGATATCCAGCGCACTCAAGTCGCATTCGCATGGGTTGACGGTATCTTCTGGGAACGCTGGATCCGGACCACATACGGTGTCGATGTCAAGGACGGCGAGAGCGTCATCATCAATGATGAAGATGTAAGTCACTCGGGTTCGCTCACACGTATCTTGCTAACACGTATAGAACCGTCGCTACTGGGATAGCACCGTATCCGGCGAACCTATCCGCCTCTCTCGCGCCGCAATCCTGGAAACTATCAAGATGGTTACCTCGAACCCGCCCAAGATTGCCGCCAAATCTACCACTGGTCGCATTACTGGCATGTACCTCTCCACTCGTCACTTTATCAACAACCATCCCTTCATCTCGCTCGGCATGTTCGTCGGTTTCTTCACTGCCGCGACACTATTCGGCAACAGCAGGCGGAAGAGAAGGTTTGGAAATACCGGCGCGTACTTCCAGCTGGGAGAGAAAGATGGCTTACTGGGCGGCATGGGTAACGGCAACTTTGGAGGCGCGAAGCACGATTAAGCTCTGAGATAAGACCACAGGATGACTGTTGGGTGGTTCGGCGTTTTCTTTGGCATGTAGCATAGTCACGATTGGTTCTGATAGCGATAGCGGTTATTCATCTCGCGTCTTGTATTAATACAAACTGTTGTTATCTGCACTGCAATGGTCAAAGTGTGCGCCTGTACATGCCCGGACGATATCACGACATTTCCAAGCTTTTGACGTGCTACGGCAAAACCACATGGAGGTCTAGAGCGTATGCCATCATAACCAAGCATGTCACTTGCAGCTGGCCATTGGGTGGAGCACACACGTGTCTACGCGACGTAGCTCCCCACGCGTACCCCACCACCCCTCCAACTCACTTTCACGCATTCTACGCTCTGCAACTCGGGTACACGTCCCGCCCTTGACAATCGTCCGCTCCTTTACAACTTCCACGCTGCATTCTCTCAAGTTTCTCCGCGCAGCGAGATCGTGCCATCAGCATCCTGCTGCGATCCAAGCACGAGCATTTCTCCTCCGCCGATTACCTCACACATCCGCCCGCACAATGTCGACGATATCCCTTTCGGATCTCGAATTCGTGACTCGCGAGTCTCTCGCCAGCGACTTCAAATCCTCTGGCAAATCGCTGCCGGAAAACACTGCAATCATCGACGTAAGACGACCCATTCAACACAAACCTTTCCCTGATATACACAAGACTGACCATGTGCCCCCAATCTAGGTACGAGACAGCGACCACGTCGGCGGTCACATCAAAGGCTCAACATGGGTCCCCTCGTCGCAACTCGATTACAAAACCCCCGAGCTGATCCGCACACTACAAGACAAGGAAGTCGTCATCTTCCACTGCGCGTTATCGCAGCAACGGGGTCCCAGTGCGGCATTGAGATATCTGAGAGAGAAGGAAAGATTGGACCCGGCCTCGAAGGTGGAATCGAAGGGCGAGGTTGAGGAGCAGAGTGAAGCCGTGGATAAGAAGGAAGGAGAGAAAGGACCTAGCGGGACACATGTCAAGAAGCAAAAGGTCTATGTGCTTCAGGGAGGGTTCACGATGTGGCAGGAGAAGTATGGGCAGGATAATGATTTGACGGAGGGGTATGAGAAGGATATTTGGGAGTTTGGTACGCCGGATCATTAGACGGCGGATGGACGCTGTTGCCCGAAAGGACTTACGGTGTATTCATGCATCAGATCTATGGGTTGTTTCCCACATACGTGAGAAGATACGAATATCGAGCATAACTTGAAGAATGATATTCGATAACGAGGAATAGATTATCGCCAGAACGCACTAACAACCCTTCGCGTCCGCTTGGTCTTTGACCAAACCCGCATAGTTCTGCTTCTCATAGTCCATGATAGCCTGTACCTTCTTCGCACTCGCACTGCCCTTGTCAAACCGGTATCCAACCCACTCCTTCACCAACCGCCTCGCAAGTTCAATGCCAATAACTCGCTCACCCATGCAAAGCACCTGTGCATCGTTCGACAAGATGGCGCGCTCCACCGAGAAGGAGTCATGTGCCGTTACAGCCCTGATACCAGGCACCTTGTTCGCAGAGATGGCAACACCAAGACCAGTGCCACAAATGAGAACAGCGCGGTCTGCCTTGCCTTCTGCGACAAGCTTGGCCGCATCAACGGCGATGTGCGGGTATGCGGTCTTGTCGCTGTTTTCAGGTACGCCAACGTCGGTCACGGAGGCGATGCGCGAGTCGGCTTCGAGGTCTTTGATGATGGCTTTCTTGTACGAGACGCCCGCGTCGTCGCAGCCAATGGCTATGCGGAGGGGCTGCTGGTCTGATGACATGGTGGATGCTGATGTGTGACGCGTTGCGTGCGTGTAGGGAGGTTCTTAAAGTTCAGAAGTATCGTACTTCTTCTCGATGTTCCTTCTTTTCGTCTTGCTGACAACGTTCAAACGGCTTCGATCGCGTTCTTCGTCGTCGTCCTGATTTCTTGATCCGCCGCTTCGTCGTTCCGTTCTGTTTGTGGAATACGATACGTGACCCTCTGCGGAATGTACTTTCCGTCCGCTTCCTTCAATGACCTCGTTGACCGCGCGATTGACTGTCTTCTCAAACGGTTTCGTCACGTAGCTCAGATCCGTATGTCCGTGTGTCGGCCCTTTGCTTTCAATGACTTTAGCTCTATCTGTACCGTCCTTGCTGTGGTCTTCGACTTTCTGGTACACGTGGTCGGCGTCGGTATCGAGGTTTAGAGAGAACAAAGCGCGCTTGGGAGGGGCCATTTTCGGCGGCCGGGAGGAGGCAACGTGTTATATACGATTCGCGACAGTGGTTGGCAAAGGCAGGGGGCGTTGTGTCGGCGGTTCGGTTGAATGAGGGGTTAAACAGACGCCGTGACGCCGCAGAGGATGTGAGCTAGAATCTGGATTGCGGGATGCGGGGATCGGGAGTGCCGGATGCGGTATGCCGGTGGGGTAAGAATGACAGGTTGCCTCGACGCGAGATGGTGACGGGATGAGGTAGGCCGGTCTCGGTGATGCAAGGCCGAAGTTCTGGTGTTCTGTTTCGGTGTTTGCTCCGACGGCTGGAAGTGATGGAAGTGCGATAGTCACAAGCTGTCGGTGTGCCGATGTCGATAGACTTCTTGGCATGAGATACATAGCGACACCACAAGTCAATAACAAATTTACTTTCATTTGCACTTGTTCCATTTTCATATGTAGCCTTTACTTATGTTTACATCACTGTAGCTATTTTTTACTTCTTGATGATTCCACACGTCTCTACTTCTTCTCCTCTCCAAAAAGATCCTTCTCTACCATCTGCCTACAGATCGGATGGTAAAAGTCCTTGTTTTTCTCAAACGTGCTAACCGCCAAGTCGCGATCCGCCTCGTTCAGTAGCCTAAACATGGGCCGGACGAACTTCATACGCCCAATCTTGCCCAACAATGTTGCTGCAGGCTCGTAAGTCTCCTGTGCCTTGGCCATGAGCCCGATATTGAGGTAGCGCGATAGCACCTCAATGTTTTGAGTGTCGTTGTAGCCATAAGTCGCACCAAGCAGGTGTACCTTGTCGGCTGAGAACTTCGAAGCGAAAGATTGAAGCTTCTCGAGGAAGACCACGGACTGGTTTGACACCCAGCCTTCGATGTCAGAGGCTTGGGGCTTGAAGTCGTTGGATTCGGAGGAGATCAAAGCCTGCCATTTGTCTGCGAGTTCGTAGCAGCTCTTTACCATAGTCTGGTCAAAGTCTGGCTTGACAGGGAATCCCGGTGCATAGAACAGTTTGTCCCAGTCGAAGTTGTCCAGCTTCTGCTTGCTCTCTGCGTCTTTCTCGAAGAACTCTAGGAGGCAACTCTTAAAGTCGTATGAGTCAACGGACTTGAACTTGAAAGTGTCGAAGTAATGGGGGATGAAAGAATCCCACTTCTTCTTTCCGAGAAGCAGCTCAAATTGGTACAGGGCGTGGAAACCTTTCTCGTACGGAATGGAAGAGAAGGCGTCATCAGGATCTTGGCCCTTGAGATCGAGAACAAGTTTAGTGTAGGGGTGGTCTTCGCCGTAGTTCTCGATGCTTTGCTCCAGAGCTTTCCAACCAATGATGGCAGAGAAGTGGCGATGTGCCTCTCCATGAAGAGCAGCAGCGATCCTGCGTTCCAGATACGTTGTCCAGCCTTCGTTCAACCAAAAGTGCTCCCAGCTTGCTGCGCTAACCAGGTTGCCGGACCATGAATGTGACAGCTCATGTGCGATGACGTCGACGTTTTGCTTGTCGCCAGAGATAATAGAGGGAGTGGCGTAAGTCCAAACCGGATTCTCCATACCGCCGTACGGGAATGAAGGAGGCAGGATGAGCACATTGTACTGTCCCCACTGGTAGGCGGGCGAGACGATGGATTCGAGTGCTTTCATGAAAGGCTCGATTTCGCCGTCAAGCTCGTCTTTGCATGCAAGGAGCTCTTCAGGACCAGACCATACCGTACTGCGGGGCCCGATGCTTGCGCACGCTAGATCTCCACTCGCGACAGCAAAGAGGTAGACAGTCATGGGAACCTTTTGCTCAAATGTGTACTTCATGGTACCGCTCTCACCATCCTTCTTCGGGGGCAGGTAGTCACTTGCCCCGGTAGGCAGACCTGAAGCAAGCACCGGCAGGGGCGAGCGGAGAGCAAAGCTGAATGTCGATTTGACATCTGGAGTGTCTTGACAAGGGAAGACTGAACGTGCGTGGATGGCCTGGCATTGCGAGAACATGTAGGGGTGCTTCTTGTTGGAGGTCTGAGCAGGAGTCATCCACTGAAGCGCGGTACATTTATCAGTGGTTGCGACCTTGATCTCTACATCAACAGTCTTGCCTTTGGGAACCTTGGAAGGAAGAGAGATGGTGAGAGGGCTGCCATAGGGTTCCACGCGATCTCCTACGTTGAACTTGACGCTTTTGCCCTCGACTTCTACAACGGAGATGTCAAGAAAGCTAGGTTTGTTTAGTAAAGCATTTCAAGCATTCAGTCTTGCAGAGAATGTGTACATACCTGCTGTCCAACACAACATCTTTCACATCCTCATCCGTCAAGCACTCCAACGTCAGCACCACACTTCCAAATAACCTCTTCTTCTGGAAGTCGATATCGAAGTCTACACTGGTATGCCGTGTCACAAAGTTGTGATAGTTGGACAAGGTGTTGGGATCCCTGGGAGTGCGGATCTCGATGTTTGGGTCCGCCATCGGTTTCGTTAACATGGCGGCGGGGGAGCGATGCATCGTGGCGAATGCGGCTGTTCTCGTAGCTGAAGGTGTGAGAGGTCGGCCTATCCTTGAATGTTGCTTGATATAATGTTTTCCAGTCAAGGTTGATGTTGGTGAAAGACGGTCGTCCTGGGAGAGAAACGTTGCAGGTGATCGCGTGGTTTGGAGGTATCGTCGGAGTGGAGCAGCTTCATATGCCGATCTATGCCGCAGCAGAGCAGATGACCACCTGCCTAATGCGCTTCTGGCGGACATCTAGATATATCGCTCTCGCAATTCGAGTAGATAATGGGAATCGGCCCTCACAGCGACAGTGGCGCGATAAGTCACCGCCTGTCTAGTCCGGATCCAATGTGGAGGTGCACGGCCTTCGGTGACCCGACGAAGAGCTTTGTTGTAGTTCTTCCGAACTGTCTTCGCAACCAACATCATCAGCAACAAAACGGGCATAAGGAGCAAGCCACCAGAATTTGGGAACATGGACGTGGGGTTGTGAATGATATATTGCAAATGCCCTGAAATGCCAAACGCTTCGATACCCAAAGCAAGCCAACATGCTATGCACGTGTTGCTACCAAGACCTTTACACCTTATTCACACAATGCTGTCTAATCCTTCTTGCTGCCTTCCCCTTTTCGCGTCCTATCTCTCAGGACGAGATTGATGTCTGGTCGTGCTGACTGATACTGCTGTGCTGGTCTCGATACTGAGCGCTCATTGGTCGACGCAAGCGTCTCCTCTGCCCTCGATCTGCCCCTGTCCCTTTCGTCATCTCCAATCTCAAAGGCATCATCTTGGAGTTCTATGAGGTCGCCCAGATCACCGCCGACAGCTCCCAGGACAGGTACGGCACTGCGTTTCCCCTGTCCAGGTGTGCCCGGCTCATTCAAAAGCTTCTGTGCTTGTGTACCGACCTTCCTTACCCATCCTTCTATAGCACCCCCAAGCTCTTGGAAATCCAGGCCGCTGCCACTGAGCGGAGTGACAGCACCGGATCCGCCATACTGACTTGATGTTCCTGCACCTGCGTCCAGCAAACCCGGCGCCCACGGTGTGAAGTATTCCTGTCCGGGTGGAGGAGCCATATTGGGCAAGTACTGAGCGAATTTCTTGTTCAGGCCATCCTGCGCAGGCCCAGGGCTTCGCACATTCCTGCCCATTGTACCGACACCCCCTGGGCCTTGCAGACCCCATGCTTTGCCTGATGTACTTCTTTGACGACTGTGGGCTGAGGCGGATGACAGGTTGCTTGACGCGCGCGGTCGAACGGATTGCGAGGGAGAGCTAGTGAGCGGATTTGTGGAGGTGGACGAGCGTGGAAGGTCGACGGAAGCCCGGGGGGTCGATGCGTCGGAGTACGCGAGAGACTTTCGTCGAGCGGGTGGGAAGAAGCCAAGCGCTCTTCGTGGCATGCGGCCAATCTGTGTGGGCTGTTTGTCATTAGGCAGAAGAACCCATGAATCATGTGTCCATGGTGTCTCTGGGTCAGATGAGGGGACGGAGTCGTTCTCTTGGTCTTTCTTCTTTGGCGTGGTCCAGCCGTTAGGGAGACCTTGAGTATCTGAAAGTGGAGCCTTGCTATTCGAATCTTCGCCGTACTCTCCCAGTAATAGATCTTCGGCAGGGAGAGCATCCGGGCCTTGGACTCGTTTCCCTTTTACGCCACACGCATCTACTGGCAGGACGACTTGCTTCTTGATCTGTACACTATCGTTCGGCCACATACGATTGGCCTTCCGTAGCACAGCTTGCTCGCAGTTGTATTTGATGCTCAGTCCCGCCAGCGTGTCCTGCGGGCGAACGTGATGTATGTATACAAGTGCATCTCGGTCGTCGTTCTCGCTGGGAGGTGCGGAAGCGCTGATCCGTTCATCCGAATTCCTGCGCTTTATGCGGCCGACAGAGTCCGGTACCAGATGCTCACCGGCGGTCAGTAGATCTTTGCGCTTCATCGCTCTGACCATGGCCTCTCTCTCTTCGTGTGTTCCAGCTCCGACATGCGAGCCTGCGCCTGCAGGACCCCAGTGTTTCGGCGGCGGGGCGCTCGTCGACGTCCGACGCCCATGGCCCGGTTTACGTCTGCGAGTATTTCCAGATTCGTCCGAGGTACCGTCACTGGCCAGGACGGTAGCGGCAATGCCCTGAATAGCCGCCAGCGAGTTTCCCCATAGGCCGGAAAGTGTTTGCGAGGGTGATTTCGGGGTCGAGGTGCCCGATGACCTTTGAAAGGAGGATAAAGGGGCAGAAGTGACGTTTAGACGGGACGAGGAAGCGCCGCCTGTGCGTGCATTCGGGGTGGGAGATGTGTTCCGCGAGTTCAATCTCGACGTGGCCCTACTGGGTCCGCTCTCACTTCCACTCGTCGCATAGATGTCATCTTCCACCGAGATCAGTCTTCGGGTGCGGGGGCGCAGTGTCGAGTTGCTCTTGGACGTGGACAGCGAGGAGCCATTGGAGGGGTTCATGGCATGCGGACGCCAGGCGGAGTGGGTAACGGTGGTGCTGCATAGGCCAAGTGATTGGAGTGGTCGGGAAGCCGCATGACATGGGGTTACGGGAACATGGCGTGGACGTCAGGAGCAAGGACGGAAGCGCAGTGTCTAGGTTGCTCGGGTATCGTGAGGGTCAACAGCTGGGGAAGGAAGCTACGTAACCCCCGAGTACCACACCCCTTCATTCAAACACGCCCGTGCACTGTGCCGCCGAACCGTCAGAACGTGCCATGCCAAGTCACCTAGGCACCATGCACAAGGCTCACGATTGATTAAGATGAATTGGATACGTAAGTAGTGGGTACTCTTCGACTTTCACCGCCCCTCCGTGACTTCTCAAACTGCCTGGGCGCCGTGTGACGATAAGGCCAGATAACGACTAGCTTCAGGCCAGAGCTGACTCGGTCACCCCATGCATTCACGACATTACTTCATGGTTTGGATACAGATCGTGCATTGTCATGTACTATAACACTACTGCGTAGCGACACGCAAACAAACGCCATGTGCGTGTATTAAACCCACGGATATCATCATCAGTCGTCATGGTCGACAGAACGAGAAACAGTAAAGACACACTATCGAACAGAACGAATCTCACCCACCCACTGGCCTGTCCGTCACCGGAACGGGCTCGAGCTGGTCGTCGCATCCACATCTTCAAACTCCAGCTCAAACGCGTCCACTTCCTCAAACTTCTTTCTGATAGCCGCCAACTTCTCAGACTGCTCAATGGCTGAGACTTCGGTGGTCTCTGCTTCGTTCTGGTCTGCAGTCTCATTTTCCTTGTCCGACGAAATCCTGCGACCGTACGTTCGGCTCGACTTCCCTGCTGGTTTTGCTGGTGCAGTCTTCTTGGCGCGCCCTGTTTTCTTTGTTGCCTTTGGCGATGCCGGCTTTCCAGCCCCCTGCCTCTGACGAACGCGACGTGTTGGCATTTGTAGTTCATCTTGATCCGAGTCCACTTGCTCAATATCATCCGACGATTCGATCTCAAACTCATCGCGATCCCGCAAGCGATTGCGCCGACGTGGTAGCAATTCTTTGAGTTGCGCGGTGGATATGCTCTGTTGTGCCTTCTTCTTGGCCCTCTGCTTAGCCCTTGCAGGTGTCTCTGTTTCCTCGCCATCAGAGTCCTCGTCCACCACGGGTGTCTTGGCCTGCCGTCCTCTCCTGCGTGGTCGCGTTTGCGCTGGGCTTGGAGGCGGCTTTGATACTTCGCGTTCCGGGCTACTTGACATGGGAGGTGCAAGCGTCTCGCTCAAGGGTTCATCGTCTTCCTGTGTCTGCGCGATGACTTCCTCACGTGTCGGCAGTACTTCTGGTAGGCTCGGGGAGTGTGACCGCTCCGACTCCACATCGCCGCCAGACTGTGGACTGACTGGTGGTGACGAGCGTGGTACTTGGACTACAGGCGACAGCTTGCGCTTTGTACCACGGGAACCGGAGCTTGAGATCTGAGTGCCGCTATCATTCCGTGTCTCCTCCTCCGGTACCTGTTTCCGCACGTTGAGAGGTGTTGATTCAGCGTGGGGAAGGAAGTCGTCAAAGTCGAAATTGTCCGTGTTGTCCAAGTCGTCTTGATCATTGTCCTCCACGTCCGTAGTCTGCTGCACCATGCGCAACAAGCTTGGCTGCCGTGCTCTGCGCTTGAAGTTGGTCAAAGCAAGTATCGATCTCTCGTGTGCGGGTGTTGCGCCGACTTTGATGGCAGACGGCGGGCGGGTGCCGTGAGCTGGTGAATTTGAGCCAAGGGAAGAGAATGTCAAGTCGCCATAGCCGCTATCCTCTTCTATCTGCGATTCTTCGTGTGCTGGTTCGATGGCAGTTGGCGATGTGTGTGCTGCGGACTTCCTGGCACTGCTCCTTGTGGCCCGCGTCCGCTTTGATGCATTCGATGCAGGAGTCCGGTTCTTAATCGATGACACAGGGATGTCTTCTTCAGCCGGCAGCGCGCCAGTCATGGTGAGCTCTGCCTCGTCCTGAGCCTCCGGTGTCTTCTCCCCCAGTAGAGTCCTGCGCGAACGCGTTGTTCTCGATTTGGTAACGAGGCCATCGCTGTCTTCGCTGAAACTATTGGCTGCCTCACTGAGCTTTTTGGTTTGCGCTGGTATGGGTTTCGCCGCCTGTTTGCGCGCGGGGGCAGCTTTCGGTTTGGTGGGTTTCGCGACGCGCGACGCGACTTTCGATCGTGGTGGGCGGGGCATTGTAGCAAGGCGCCAGCGCGAGTGTGTTAAGGTATTAAGAAATATGCGCAGGGAGTGAGTGTGTTCGCGATCGGATTGATGCGGGCGGCGACCGTGCGACGGGGATGGGGATGAGGCGCGTCGATGTTGTGACGCACTGTGAATTCACCACCTAGCGCCGATCTAGACGCGCGAACACTTGGCTCACGTGTCAGCGCATCATCCACATGGGCTTGTAAGCATGCCCATAGACGACGCGATGACTGTATTTTCTGCTTATGTAGTACCTCGCTGAGGTCTAGCGGTAGCCTGAACCTGCACGACATATTGAGGATGTTCTCAAGGCAACAACGGTTGGAGCGTACATAGCTGCCTTCACAGGCCCCAGATCTAACATTCCTTGCCTGTCTTCACTCACACTACTCCAGTGGCATCATGAAACCTCTCCACTATCCAGATTCGTTGCAGGAATACGCAGTATCTGAAAAGGACTATCTCCAGCAGCACCCCGAATACAATTGTCTCGTCACAGGCGCAATTGTGTTCAACAAAGAAGGCAAGCTGCTGATCGTGCAGCGTGCAGCGGAGGAAAGAGCGTTCCCCGATCTCTGGGTGAGTCAATGAGGAAGCTACGAGTCTCACGGTGCTAACACGAAAAAGGAGGTCCCAGGAGGCAAGGTCGATGATACGGACCAGACCATTCTGCATGCTGCTGCTCGAGAGCTCAAAGAAGAAGCTGGTCTTGAAACGACCCGCATACTGAGGAAAGTCACGCATTTTACCTTCTTGGACAGGACCACGACATGGCTCAAGTTGGTGTTCGAGATGGAAGTGCAGAACGCCGACATAGTCGTCTTAGACCCAGTCGAGCACCAGAAGTACCTGTATGCATCCGAGGATGAGGTTGTCAAGGACAAGGTGGGGGATGTGGAGCTCAGGTACATCAGTCCTGCGAATAAGGAGGTCAAGTTGGAAGCGTTCAGACAGAAGCGCGAAGGGTGTTCCGCGTAGCAGTCATGGACGTTGGAAGAGTTGAAACGCTTGATGTATCTGGGAAAGCTGATTACTTCACGGGACGACTTCCGAGGCCATGCTTAAGGTATTGGCTGGACTTGACAGTACACTTGCTGTCGTGTGAGCAAAGCCAGCCCCTTTAGAGCATAGTCTGCATGTGAATGCAAATCACAAAGTCGAGTTTCCTCAAAGAGCCGGCGATCAGTTGCTTCCCATGCTGTATCGCTGGTCCGCATATGAAACTGGTGATTGTCGCCAATAGGAGGCGAGCCATATGGTCGGAGACGTGATCTGGGGTAAGCTGGCAGCCGTCCAACCGAGCAACAAAGAAGCCAAAGTCGACGCCAACGTGACACGGCCCAGAAGCAGCCTAGGTAGCAGTGCAATTTCTGGCGTCTGAGCGAATATCCTGTTGGACAGGAAAAAGCACGTTTCGTGTCGCAATGGTAATAACTGCCTTGCCGTACCCTCCCGTACCACCCCGGCGCCCGCGCTAGTACACACTGTGCGTGCCCCCAAAGAACACGACCATTTGCGGACGAATCATAACCTCAACCTTCGACGACCGCGTCAAAGAGCACAGCGACAGCAGCATGTCTGGCGAACACTCCTTCATGGCCAGCGCCGTGCCCGCAGCAGCAGCGCCGCCGCCGCTCGCTGCGCAACCCAGCATTGGGACCCCGTAGGTTGCAGTCGCGCGCAGCACTCCAGCACATGCTCATACCAGCCAGGCCGTCGGCGTCGTCGCAGTCAGTTCCCCCTGGACACCCGTCTTTCCGGCGGCAACGCGCCAGCCGGGCGTGCGAAAGTGAGTGCGACCCATGTCTTGCCTGTATCTGCGCCCCTGATGGTACGAGGGAGGAGCCATTGCGGTCGGTGGGATATATGGTTCAGCTCGCGAGCCTCGGCACCTCGGTCGGCCTGGATAACGAATGCTAACCACCACGCATCGCAGCCTGTCACGCGAGGAAAGTGAGTAATCAGCCGCGGAACCGCCGTGCTGCCAGAACGCGACATAACCAGCAATAGGTACGATGCGACGCCGCCTCATTGGGGATCCCATGCACCAACTGCACCGCCTTCGGCATCGAGTGCCGCATCCCCCAGCCCAAGCGCAAGAAGACGCAGACGGCCCGGGCCAAGGATGCAGAGAGGTACGCACGCGACCGACCGCCAGGGTGCTATGGAACTGACGCGACAGCAGTGACCGCGGCGACAGCGACGACCGCTCGCCCGCCAGCACCTCCGCTGAGCCCCGCGAGAAGTCGACCGCATACAACACCCAGGATGGGACCCCCTCCACCACCGTCTCGCCCGAATACGCCGCCCAACAGGCTACCCACAATGGCACCTACGTGCAGTTCATGAAGCCCAAGTTTGCGCGCGCCCCCATCAAAGAAGCCGGCCGCGTCGCCTACCTCGGGGAGTCCTCCAACCTGTCGCTGCTTGTGCACGACCGCTATGGCACCACCGATGTCGTCCACTACCCGCTGCCCGAGAACGTGCGGGGCGCGAAGGCGCGGGTCAATGAGATGGACAACATGGAGATTGAGATACTGCATCAGCGAGGCGCCTTTCTGCTCCCACCACGGGCATTGTGCGACGAGCTTGTCGAAGCCTTCTTCAGATGGGTGGCCCCGGTCGTGCCAGTCATCAATCGCAGCCGCTTCATGCGCCAGTATCGAGACCCCAAGAACCCGCCCTCGCTCCTGCTACTGCAGGCCATACTCCTGGCAGGCTCACGCGTGTGTACCAATGCGCAGTTGATGGACTCCAGTGGCTCAACCACCCCCGCCGCCATGACGTTCTATAAGCGCGCAAAGGCGCTATACGATGCCAACTTCGAAGACGATCGCGTGACCATTGTGCAAGCCCTCATCTTGATGGGCTGGTACTGGGAGGGACCCGAGGACGTGACCAAGAACGTTTTCTACTGGACCCGAGTCGCTATCGTAGTAGCTCAGGGTTCGGGCATGCACCGCAGCGTTGAAGGATCGCAGCTTACACGCTCCGACAAGCGCCTGTGGAAGCGTATCTGGTGGACACTGTACAGCCGGGACCGTTCCGTGGCAGTCGCACTCGGCCGGCCGGTTGCCATCGACCCTGAAGATTCCGACGTCGAGATGGTGTCTGAAGATGACTTCATCGACGACGAGACAGAGCACGCCGCAGAATACCCACCAGATCCGATCCATGTTCAGTTCTTCATCAACTATGTCAAGCTTAGCGAGATTATGGGCTTGGTCCTATCACAACAATACTCGGTAGCGTCGAAACACCGCAGGGCGAATGCCATAGACCTGACACACAGCGACATGGCCCTTGCCGACTGGCTGCAACATTGTCCACCGGAAGTGCAGTGGGAGCGAAATCGCCATCATTTCTGGGCTGCCTTGTTACATTCAAATTACTAGTACGTCTATGCATCTTCTGACTCTGACGTAGACTAACGCTCGCAGCACCACTCTATGTCTTCTGCATCGCGCACACATGCCACCAGCAGGCTCACCAAAAGCCACTCATCTTGACGGTTTTGGTGAAGCCAACGCCTACCCATCACGGAATATCGCGTACCAAGCAGCCGCCATGATCACATCCATTATTGAAAACCTCAGAGCTCATGATGAAATTCGGTATACTCCGGCTTTCATCGTCTACAGCTTGTTCTCCGCTCTCATCATGCACGTGTATCAGATGAAGTCGTCTAACAAGTCTGTCGTCTCAGCGACTGAGCAGCGACTGCAGATCTGCTTGGACGCTCTTAAAGAGGTCTCCAAGGTGTGGCTTGTCGCAAAGATGGTGCATACTCTCTTCGAATCAATTCTTGGAAACAAGCACCTTGAAGAACGTCTGCAGAAAGCTGCCGGCCGCAACCACAAGAAAAACAAGGTCCCTTCGGTCCCACCACCACCGCCACCTAAGCCTGCCCAGGAATCATCGAAACGAAAATTCGATGACATGGATCTAGGCTTCCCTGTTCCAAGTGGGCCGCCATCTGCCCAGGTCTCCTATGAGCGATCCAGACCGCAGACTCCTGCCGTCACACCATCGCGCGAGCTGCAACCCCAACAGCAGATGCCCCAGATGACTACTGGATCTCCGCAGATGAATCGGCAAAATCATGACGCATTCATGGGCCCTTCACGGTCAGGAACGCGTCCTACGACCCCGTTCAATCCTTCATACTCGTATCCAGGAACGCCACCGGATCTTTTCCTGGTGACCCGTGATACCCCTAACATTAGCCAAGAAGTGTGGCAGAACTTCCAGCCCGATCAGCTGTTCCCTGCCGACACACAAGTCAACTTTCCCCAGATGTCACCCATGCAAAACCACAGTCTTGTAGATCCTGCCTTGAGCCAACCTCAAAACATTGCCATGCCCTCTCAACAGACTGCTGGGGGCCAGTCACAGATGCAGAACCCACCGTCAAATCCGGGTATCTCCAGCGGTTACGAACATAATAATACTCAGGCCTGGCAGCAACAGATGGAGATGATGTCGCAGAATCAGCAACAGCATAGCGCACAGGATGATGCTTGGAGTCAAAGTTCCGGAGGTCGGCCCAACCCCATCGTGCCTATGAGCTTGAATGTCGATGACTGGTAAGTCGAAGTTCCGATTCTGTCCGAAAGTAGTCACTAACTCTCTGTCCCAGGTTCAACTTCTTCGGCATCAACGGTGAAGCCGACATGTCACATCTATTCCAGCAAGGCCCTGCTTAGACTCAGAAGCGTTTGCTTCTGTGATTGTTCGATAGCTTTGTTGTTAAAGTTTTACTCCGCGTGTAAGCGTATCAGTAGCGTGGATTCAGTTGTTGCATGAATGCATGTCTCTTCAAAAGGTTCGAGGTAGCAGCGTGTGGGTTCTGTACGTCCCGCGTACAAAGGAAGATGATTTGGCATATTACAGGACAACACTTTTCGGCATACTACTTCTCTGTGTCGTCTTCACTATAAGCTACCATCAATGCATAACACTCGCGTGCTTGGACAAATTTCACGATACAGATTTGTGACTGAAGGCAATTATGGACACATATTGACGACCTTAGGATGTTCACGTCAAGATGTTCCAATCCAATGCCTTGTGAGGCCTTCGCTAGAATTCATCAATGTGCCTACTGTTGGGATACGTTGCTGATTGTTGCCATAGAAGACATCTAATCCGGGTTCATGCTCTCATTCTTTCTTACGTGCTTATCGCATCTGTATCGAAATTACGAGTCTGCGCAGTCTTCAATGCTAAGCAGTCCGAAGCTCTCCATTTCAACGGAAGATCCACCCGTGGGCCGGTTGGCTCCCCGCGTCATAAGCCTGTGCAGGCCCGATTAGGTTAGCACCACTTCGGTTTCGGGAACCTCGCAACTTCACGTACCTAAGTACGCGAGACTGATACAACAACACCGTGAGCTCGACGTACACTAGCCGCCCAAGGCCAGATCACGACTCTATTACCAGGTTCGTAAATGCTCTCTCTCCAAGCCCTCGAAGTGCACCCATTCCTTCTGTTGCCCGCATAAACCCCAAGGTCGAATCGGAATCGCACCACGCCGCACATCGCAACGGAGCCACCCACGACTACGACATCGAACGCGCCCGAATAACAGCCCTACAACGATCACGATCCCTTTACACAGCCGTATTCACTACGCGCCTTCCTCGACTGCTTCGCCGCAGCCTTGCCATTCGCTCGCCCAAGTACCTACTCCCAAATCAAACAATACTAACTACCCTTCTCGTGTAGGCTAGGGCGCATCATTCCTACAAAACATACGCCCCAAAATGTTTCAAGCGCAACAAAATCCGGGCCGCGGTGCCCCACTCGGTGCGAATAGGTTGCAGAATGGCAAGATGGGTGAGGACAACCCCAGAGCGAGTTTGGGCTATATCGCTGATTGCTGTCTCTGTAGGTGCTGCGTCTCAATGGGGGTTTGGAGCTCCAATGGGTGCGCCAGGCCTATCGAATGCGCAAACACGAACAAACGGCGGGGCCATGTCAAGCTTCGCGCAAGCAATGGGCGGCTCGCAGCCACATACGCCGCTGAATCTTGAGTAAGTCAACACACGAAATGCCTCCGAAACGAAAGAAAGGAGAGTACCGAAAAAAGACTCCACAGCTCGATTCTGGGAATCTGAAGGACGTTGAGAGACACAAGCTAAACGTTGATGACCATAGGGAATTCCCTTCGCTGTCGGGCGCGCCGCAAGCGCAACAGAACACTACCGCGCAGCAGATGTGGTCGAACCCCACCCTACGAACCACCCAGCAAGCCCAGCAAAACACGATCGGACGTCCGCAAGGCCAAGGTCAACAGCAGGGCCAAGGGCAGGCAACACAGGCTACGAATCAACAACAGCAGAACCAGGGACAGGATGATTCATCCCAAAGCCAGTTCTCTGGTGCTGGGGATGATTATCGTTTTGGAGGACAAGGGGGTGTCGGACAGTTGGGGGGTGTTCAGCCGCAGACAGGCAACATCGAGGAGTTCCCTCCATTAGGGGGCGCTGGCGGAGATATTCCACAAGATCGAAGAGCTGGCCTGATACAGAACGCAGCGGCATTCGGTGCGAATGGAAACAGCGCCTTTCCTGGGCTCGGACAAACACGGAACGGCCTCTCAAGCCCGACAGATAGCCAGCAAGACCGGAGCATCAACCCCACTGTGGGTGGCAGGGCACCGCCAGGTACATGTAAGCAAGAGGTCTCAGCCATCATATCAGCCACTGACGATGATAGCATCACGGACACCATTCGAGAACATGCGGACAGGCAACCAAGCAGATGTACGTACCACATGCAACTCTGCTGTACCATAGTTCACACCATGTAGGGAAACCAACGGATAGGGCAGCAAGGGAACATGTTCTCCCTAGGTCCTCAGACAAGCATGCGGGGTGGTGCTGATCTCGCCCCGGGCGGTCAACGGCAGCAGCAGAATCAGTTCGAGCAAACATTTGGGTCTGACGTTCTCGGCTCCCCGAACGCGCAAAATATGCTACACAAGAAGCTCTCGGACATGACGGACTCGGAAAGATACGGTTTACCTGGACTTCTGTCCATGATTCCTATGGACAGCCCCGACTATTCCTCGCTGGCTATGGGCCAAGATCTGACAGTTCTGGGCCTCGATCTGAGCCGGCCAGAGTACGCGTTCCCTTGCCCTCTCAACACATTTGCTAATGGGTTTCTTAGTAATTCTCCATTACATCCTACGTTTGGTTCACCTTTCGTGGAATCCAACGTCAAGCCAGTAATTCCACCAGATTTCACTCTACCGGCGGCGTACACTGTAACAAATGTTCCACCACTGCATTCGAAAATGGCCAGCTTCTCCGCCGAGACACTATTAGCTATCTTCTATCAATTCCCGAGAGATATCTTGCAAGAAATTGCTGCACAAGAGCTATACAACCGCGATTGGCGGTGGCACATGAAGCTCCAGCAGTGGATGATGAAGGATCCAGATCTCGCGGCGCCTATCAGGATTTCGCCAAAAGAGGAACACGGATGGTATCTATTCTTCGATGTTAAGAACTGGAGGAGAGAAAGGGTATGTGTTCCGCTCTGTCAATGCACGTCCTATGAACGACGTACTAGACACTAACGCGAGTATAGAAAGAGTTCGACCTCAACTACGATCACCTTGATCAACGCCACGGTAGCCCTGCTATGGCGGGACAGATGTAGTAGGCTTCCTCTTCACACTGAGTGAATCGTCTTATCGCACATGCACCGCTTGGTGGTGACCTCGGCTGGTATTATACCAATAAAGTACCCTGAGGGTCTTACGCCTGGGGTTTGAGCAACTGTTCTATTCTACGCTTCATGCACATGCTCATGAGGCGACATGATTCACTATGGTCTCTTGATCCGTGAGAAAACAATCTGCAGGTGTGTGACTGCTGCCTTGGCCGGCACGTGCCTTCTCTCACTGTTAGCGGTGAGATCGTGACTACCCCAGTGTCTTGCATCGAACCTTCTTCGTCCACCGTCTACTCATACAACCGCACTTTTGCCCCTCTATCACCGGCCTCAACTTCAGCGATCCTCGCAAGCACTGACCTGCAGATTACTCTTACAAGATTTTCCTGTCTCCAAACAACGCAACACTAACACACAGCACCCAATCACTATGTCATCTCCAACGTCGAATGATGCCGACTATGTTCGCGAAACGCTCACGAAGCTCTCAGTAGCCGTTCGCGAGCTGACTCCAGCCGGCACAAAGCAAGTTCCACAAAACCCCGACCGCTTCAATCTATTGGCGCGTCCTACATACGGTGGCTGTCGTGTCTGTGGTCTTCCCGGCCACCAGTCCATCGATGTCCACCATTCGGCAGCGTGTCGCGTTGCGCTTCTCTCGCTCATCGGCTTCTGGGAGGATATCGCGGATCACGTGGCCTTCCTCTACCAGCACTCCGAGCGATTTCAAAAGGCCATCCAAGAGAACGAGCCAACGTATGTAATGCGTCTTGACAACCGACCGCTGAAGGGTGGTGACATGGAGGTTGTCCTTGTAGACCGCCTAACAGGGAACTTCCTCAAGTTCATGGCGCATGTTCGGGGTATCAGAGCCAAGGTCAATGTGATTCTTAATGAAGATGACTTGGCTAGATATGAGCGAGTGGCGAAGAATCTGGAGGGGTTCTTCTTGGACGGACAGACTCGTAAGTTCTTTCCGAAACCGCGTGGAATGGCATGAACTAATCTGCTGGTAGTGTCTGATCTCTACGAGCGCAGTATTGCGATGGAGCAGTAAGGCTATGGCTGCATCTGTGTGTGCTTTCTTCCTTGATGGCGGGAATCTTCATGAGCGTATTCTCAGACATTCCCAAATTCTGTTTCTGCATTGAAGGTCACACGTGACGAGCACGTGTTGGCTAGCGCAATACCTAGCTAGGTACTAATATTCCTCCCTCTGCACTTTTGAACGTTGAAGCTTGACTTTCGTAACCACACTTCAGTAACACGGACAGATCGCGATGATTGCCCCGCACTCATAGCTGTACAAGAACTCAGTCGTTGCCCCGCATTCTCCGTTATCGCCCATGCGTAAAGTAGATAGTGTTGGTACAGAATGGTGGGTGCCACGGTACGCTCTTTTCCACACCCCCAATCCGACACGATGTCTATCCATAACCCCGCTGCACCTTCCACATCTGCGTTCACTTTTGATCATCCCATATTTCATGACTTCCACTAGCACTCCGATAGGCACAACCGAGCTCATATGGGGGTTTCCTTCTCATCTTTGATTGCTTACCAACACATCTTGAACTGCACCACAGCAACAAGATTGCACCGATTGATTGTATCTCTGTAGACGAAGGTTTACACACAAAAAATCAATGGTGCAGAGTTTATCACAGTGCGGAATCCGAGGACGGCAGCGCAAAAGGCGACGAGGCGATGCAGGGTCTTCCGCAATCAGTACCAGACTCGCATCGCAGTCGAACCCCGCTCCGCGGTAACCATGGGATATTCGATCCGAAAACGACTGTCATAGACCCTGATCGCTTCCCCTCAAGCCCATAAGCGATCTGAGTTTGCACATCAGCTACGAGTAATTGACCGACGATACCGCGGGCACGGGTGGATCCGGTTGTCGCCAATCGTGGGACTGCCAGTACACGATGCTCATTGACGTACGAGCTTTTCCTGGGGTCCGTTGCGAGAATGTAAATCTTGCTCTCCTCCAACAAACAACCATCATCATGGAGGC